GATATACGCGAGAATTGGGAGGAAAGCGGAAAATCGAGGATGAAATTTCGTTAGAACGCCGAGTCAATAATATTCTTATCCACCGGGCAACGTAAAAGATAACGCGGTTCCTGTGCGGCCTGACAATAATGTAATTTTTCGGACGGTTTTTCGATTGTCTATCTAGAATTTCAGGACGAATATCGAACATTGAGTGGAATTATCGTGCTCGGTGCTGATACGACGCGACCAGAGGAACCGAGCGGAATTGCAATTCGGAAACGAAAGCGCGAATACGCGGATGCCGGAATATGATAACGCTTGCGGATACCGGCTACTTCTGCTTTCGGGTTAATGCCGAGTGATTTCCGACGGACGTTTCATAGTTATCTGCGGCCAGCAGTTGTTCGAACATCATAAAGCAGAGTAAATGTTAACCATATATAAAGGTGAAAGGAAGCACTGCTGGATATTTGCGGGAAAATCGCCTGAGAGAAGCGCGCTCTTTCGCATTTAAGGCTCTCGCGCTCACTGGAAAAATTATTTTTATATTTGGAATATTTTTGGCACACGCGCGATTTGATTGGCATTACTATGTTTTTACTTGTGTTAAGTACATGTATTATCGAGAAAGCAAAACACATAGCGGCAATTCCGTTTCTGGGTTACCAGACATTTAGTTTTAACCAAATTTCAGTTTGGTATATCAAATTTTCTTTTGTCAATAAAATCTTTTTTCAGTGCTGAGAGAAAAAATATCTAAAAATAAAAAAAAACTTAATCGATAGGTATACCAGCAAAATATTTAATTAAATTTTTTTGTTTAAATAAAATAAACAATTATTTTTATGAAGAGCTTATTTATGAAGGTTTTAAGAAAATGCATATTTTCTTGGTTGGAAACCAAGATATTTTACATTAGTTTAAGTGAATGTATTATTAATATCCGTCGAATAAATATTTTTTATTTTTTAGACATTTTTTCAGCGTAGTCTATTACCGTTCTGACGTCAGAAACGAGAAAACGTAT